ATCAACTCATCTAATGTTTCATTGCCACTAGACCATCCTTCAGTTAATAATTTTGGATTGCATGATTGACACCATGAATAACCAGTATTATATCTATTGCATGTTGGACATTCCCCATATTCTTCATCTCTTCTCTTTGAATATTCATCGTTTTTATCAGTAGAAGTATTGTTATGATGCTTATTTTCATTTAAAATGTTTTCCATTGTATATTTGTAAAAAAAAATTTTTTTTTCAGCCACAAATATGTATCACAAAAAATATATTAATTAATATTAAATATATATTTAGATTTACCTAAAAAAAAATTAAATTTTACCTGAAACTACAACAATTCAGCATTGACACCCTAAAGTTGTAAAACTGTAATAAATATTGCAAGCATGCGATCAGAGTTATTGGAGTCACCAAATCTGGCAAACTAAATTAAAATCACTAGATACAACTAAATGCTTGATTAAGTTTCTATTCGAATAATTCGAATAGTTTGAATAAAATGAATAAAACGAATAAACAAATAGTTCGAATGACAACAATTCGAATAATAAAACGAATAAACTAAATAAAATGAATAATTCAAGCAAAACGAATGATACAATTCGAATGATAAACAAATGATGTCAGTTCGAATGATAATAATAAACGAATGATGTCAATTCGAATAATAATGATAAACGAATGATGTCAATTCGAATAATAATGATAAACAAATGATGTCAATTCGAATAATAATAATAAACGAATGATATCAATTCGAATGATAAACGAATGATGTCAATTCGAATGATAAACGAATGATGTCAATTCGAATGATAATAATGATAATAAATGAATGATGTCAATTCGAATGATAATAATGATAATAAATGAATGATGTCAATTCGAATAATAATAATAATAAAACGAATGGTGTCAATTCGAATAATAAACGAATGATAGATAACAATTCGAATAATAGCAATAAACGAATGATGACAATTCAAATAATAAACGAACGATAGATAACAATTCGAATAATAAATGAATGATAGATAACAATTCGGATAATAAATGAATGATAACTATTCAAATAATAAACGAATGATAACTATTCAAATAATAAACGAATGATACACAATTCAAATAATAAATAATGATAACAATTCAAATAATAAAAGAATGATAACAATTCGAATAATAAACGAATGTTACAATTCAAACAAACGAATGATACAATTCAAATAACTAAATGATTTGAATAATTCAAACAAAAATTGGTATTACGAATAGAAACTCTGCTCTATTGCAAAGTCATCAAATCTAGCACAACTACGATACTTGAGGCGTCCCTACAAGCAATATAGTAAAACCAATAAAAGGGGTTCCTAACTCATAATTAAATGTTGACCAAACCATTAATCATCAGAAAGGGTTATGAATCAATTGATGAAAGTGTCATTATTGAAAAATCAATTTTTTTTCACTGAAGGAGATTTCATGCATATTTATACTTCTTGAAGTATTACAAATAACATGACTTTTTACATGATTTTGTCCAATAAAATAAAATAAATAA